CGAGATGCGTTACCTAAGCGGTTATCGTATCTCCATTTACAGACGAGGCGTGGAAGCCCGTCCGTCTTTCCCCAGAGCCCAGGGCAACGAAACGCAGTTTCTCAGACGCAACTTCAAGAGCTCTCGACATTCCCTCAAATGAAGAATAGTTCTCTCTCCTTGGAGATTAGGGTCCTCTGGCACCAACCAGAAATACTATTAAAAAATCTTTTTTCTTTCTTAGTCATAAAAAGGACAATTAAACCACAGAAATGTGAGCATTAAAGAAACAGGCTGTACAAAAGTCAATATCATGCAGGCAAGAGAACGTTTAGGAATTATAAGTATTTGGAAGTCAGCAGTTACAGCTTCAAAATAGTTCTTGTAAATGTTCAACCACTGGAAATTTCAAAATGCCAGGTAGCCAATGGTTTCTAGGTGAAAATATTTTTTAAAAGTAATAAAACCCCTCTCTCACTTCTGGTAACATCTCAGCTTACTAAATAATGGAGAGCCTTTTGCCCCATGCTGGACTCACTTCCTAGAAACTTGTAAATACCAGACCCCAGAGCTTGACTAATGGCTGCTGGACGTGGTGCCCAGAGTGTGTGTTTGCACGACCGGCTCACGTGGGAAAGACCCAAACGTCTGGTCCTCGCATCAACGTCTTTGGACCTGAAAATCACCAGGAAAGGAGGCAACGGAGGATCAAGATGAGCCAGATGGAAGTGGGAAGGCAGGACTGGGAGAGAGCTGAAGTCGCCAGAGGAGGGGAAAGTTCAGCTATCTGTGAAGAATCCAAGTTTTCTTTTCTCAAAACTGAGGCAGGAATGGAGAGACCGCTGGCCTTGGAGTTGACGGCCCCAGATTCGAGTTCTGACTCAGCCTTGGACCTCTCCGAGCTGACTTCTCCTCAGTAAAATGCACAAATACTTAACGAAGGGCTGCTCCACTGACTCAGGAGGTTACAGTGAACAGGCAATAAGATATTTGGGAAAATGTTGCAAATGCTTTGAAGCAGCACAGGTGAGGAGGTTTATCATGAGAAAAGATGCTGAGAGGGCGTGCATGTTATTACTCACAATTCTTTCCTTTTTAAGTGCAAACCAGCTCAGGCAAAAAAGGAATCTTTTAGTTCAGATGACAGGGTACGGTAGTTATCAGAGCTAATCAAATATCCCATTTCTCTTCCTTCCTGGTATATGGTGGGACTGAAATTCTCTGCCCTTTTTAAAGTTAGGTGTGACCATGTGACCTGCCTGTCACTTCTGGGCAGAAGCTTTAAGAGCAAGAGTGCGATCTGCCATATTCCCCCCTCCTGCCTTGGGGATGGTAGAGGCACGTGTCGAGATGAAGCTCCCATGGTCCTGGGTCCCTCAGTGACCACAGTGAGCAGAGCACTTGCCTCCTGTCCCTAACCTTCGTTGGTTGTGTAGCCAAAATAAACAAACTTTTGTTGCGTTAGAAGCCACTGCAACTTGGGATTGTTTGTTACTACAGCATAACCTTGCACTGACTACATTTTCTTATTTTCTGTAATTTTTTTTTTTTTTTGGTGAGGAAGATTGGCCCTGAGCTAACATTCATTGCCAATCTTCCTCATTTTCTTGAGGAAGATTGTCCCTGAGCTAACATCTGTGGCAATCTTCCTCTATTTTGTATGTGGGACACCGCCACAGCATGGCTTGATGAGCGGTGTGTATGTCTGTGCTGGGGATCCGAACCCGTGAACCCCGGGCTGCCAAAGCAGCGTGCGAACTGAACTACTATGCCACCGGCTGGCCCCTTATTTTCTGTATTCTTGATGCTCAGGCATTTGGGGCCTTGGTCCCGGAGAGACTGCCCCTCCAGGGCTAGCTAATTCCTAGAGACAGCAAACAACTACCCCAAACATGCCTTTGATACACAAATCAACCAATCCACAGCCACACCCCCAACTATGTCTTTTATCAAACTCACACACCAAGCCAATACTCCCCCTGGCGTGATTCACCCCAGCACCAGGTACTGGGCTACTAGGGACTACTCCTGTAGCCCAGAGCCTGCTAAAATATTCAAACTATAGAATCCTAAACGTACTCAGCACACCTACCCTGCCTCGCCCATTCCTTCCTGCGAAAACCCCAATAAAGGCCTTGCCCTCTCTGACCCCTGACCAACCCCGATCGTTCCCTATGTGGCCCTGTGTGATGGGCTGCACCTCCTGTTTCTAGGATCTGTGAATATAAACTTCTTCCTTCCTGACAATAATTTCCGTTTCTGTGTGTCTTACCATCCCTGATAAAAACAAATCCTGGGTACATTTTAATACAAGCCCAGCCCACCTCGACTGATACACCAGGAGGAAGACTGGAATTGGTGTCAGACACACTGGGTTTTCCCCCACTCTCCCCAGTCTCTGGGTTGCTGGCTCTGGGCTAGCCTCCCCCTGTGCAGAGGGGACTTCTCTGGGTGGCAGGAAGATGGACCTGAGCGTCTCCGCTTCACTTTCAGAGCCCAGAGGCAGGAGGTGGTCTTCTCTGCTGGTTCGGGCAGAAAAAGTCACAGGGAAAGACTCAGATTGGCCCAATTTGAGTCATGTACAACCATGGGACAATCTCTATGGGTCAAGCAGATCGATCAGGATTGAGCCACACGCTCACCCCTGTGGCCGGGTGGGTGGAAAATGCTGGACACCAACGAGATCTCTCCTTGCCCTTTTGTGGATGGAGTTTGGACATCCAAACCGTGCCACAGCCTAAGGAAAGGAGGGTCTGCAGAGAGCTGCTCGTTACACAAAGGACTACTGGGAAACTGGACAAGCACGGAATAAAGGAACTTCCTTTGAGATCAACAGGTAGTAAATAGGACCCTTTCTGAGACAGGGTCAGGCCAACCAGAAATACAGTACCTACAACCAACCCATCCTCCCTAAGAGTGGAAAACAAACCCTCAGATGAGCACTGTGGGGAAGGGCAGCAAATGTTTACTGAATTTTCCAGTATTTACTGAATGCCTCTGTAAGGCATGTACCCAGATGGTTCTGTTCAGGTGGATCTGGCTAAAAGAATGTTGAACTGTCCAGACACCTATGCAGGGCTCCCTGCTTCAAGTCAGTTTCTTCTAGAGGCCCAGAGAAGGGGGATTGGAGATCTCTGTCTGGGGGTCCCAGGGAGTGGGAGGAAAACACAGAGGATGAATCTGTGTCTCACCTGGTCTCAGCCTCACCTCAACTGAGGGTGAGACCAGGGCCTCTCGACCTGGAAATAGTGGGCTGGCTTCCAGGGTCCATGAACTCTTATTATTGAATGTAAAAAACTGAATGCTCATTTCCTACGGAAAGGATCCACAGCTTTCACCAGATTCTCAATGGGTATGGCCCCAAAGCGTTAAGAACTGCCATCCAACAGAAGGTAGCTCAGCTTCTAGGAGACAGCAGAGAGGAGCATGGGAATTCTTTTCTTGACTTTCCCCACGTCTCACGAGTAAGTTTTCTCATCTCCACTTCAGTTCCAGTATTTTCCAAATGGAGCTAAAGTCACAGACTCCACATCCCTTTGCAGAGTCCTGTGTGGTAGAGAGAAATCTAGAAATCTGGGCCAAAGTCCTAATGAGGCCACTTCTCAGCAGGTGACTTGACCTCAATGAGCTGATTTCCTCAGGGACAAAGGGAGGATCATAACAGTCACTGTCTCACCAGCCCTCTGACAGAGGATGAAACAATAAACGCAGAGAGTGTTCTGCTTCCCTGCCCACGAATAATTGGAGCCAACATTATCGAGCCCTTCCTATTTGCCATAACAGTGCTAAGTGCTTTTACGGACGTTAGGTCATTTAATCTTCACAAAAGCCCTACAGAGTAGGTACTATTACTAACTCCATTTAATTAAAAAAAAATGGGGATGGGGGACAACTGAGGCTGAGAGACCAAGCACCTTACCGCTGAGAGCAGAGCTGCCTGCTCGAGTCCGCCCTCCCACCCATCCGCACATACCACCCGAGCAGCCACCAAAGCAAAGCGCTTACAGAGCAGGCTGCAGGCTGTGGTACCAGGGCCATGGGGATAACGAGGGGGAAAGCCTCACACACCGAGTCCGGATGACGCGTCAGGCACGTGACAGAGATGACCTCATCTGGTTCACCTCTAAGGACTGCTTTCGTCACAGCTCTTGTAGCAGCCGCATACTGACTGTCCACTTGCTCTCTTTTGCTCTATGTGACAGACGGACACATGGAAGGTGGCGAGGGTCAAACGCCTGGTATCAGGTCACACCCTGGTCAAGGGCTTAGCTAGGAATTAGGAAGTCGGGGTCACCTTTACTGACAAGAGGCAGCACTGGCCTATGGCAACAACTCGGGCTAAGGACAGAAGCTACAAGGGGTGTGACGAGAATCACGACATTTTAGGACTCTTATTTATTTCCAGTCACTCCCACTTCTTTGCCCTGGAGCAGCTGCATTAAATCAAGGGGCCTCTGGCTTCACGAAGAAGGGAATCAGCATCCATTTCAGACTTCCTACGCTGAAAGGTGGTCCAGCAGGGCTGAGGGAGCTTGGGAAGGCCCTGGGCTTAGGGGCGGGGTGGGCCACACTGCAGTGGCCCTGCTCGGTGGGATTTGCCTGGCTCCTCTGACACACAGGCAGGAACCGCCGGCATCGCTCACCTGATTCCCCAACGTGTTCCAGGGTTGGAAACGAACTGATTAGAGCTAATGCTAGAAAGGAACTTATTAGACAAGCTCCACAATCTGGGCCTGAATTTTCCAATCAGCCACGCAGAGGCAGCTGATGAAGCGAATGCTCCCTCACACTGCCACGGTGGTAACTAAGTCCCACACATGAGCCTCTCCGAGACAGAGGCTTCTGCTCACGAGCTTTGGAAAGAGAAACGAGAAGACAAGGGAGAAGAGCACGGGGCCATGGCTGCTCCTTCCCGATCCAACTGTGCCTTCTGGAGGGCAGCCTGCCTCTCTGTCCCCACTATCTGGCCTGCTGTCGGCTGCAGCTGTTGCTCCAAGGGCACCCGCGTGCTGGGACGTGCTCCCTCGCGGACGAGCAGCTGGGGCCTGGCGGTGGGGCTGGCAGCTGGCTGGGGTCATTTGCTGGCCACAGCAGAGAGCTGGTCTCGGATGCGGCCCAGCCCATCTAACATGGTGTCCAGCGTTTCCTTACTCAGCTCCACGGTGACAGCCGAGACGGAGGGCTTGTCTCCACACAGACTGGGATCTTCCTGGATCTGAAAAGAAAACGTGGCCCAAAAGTTACAGCTGCTCCTTCCTATCGCCCGGAACCCGTGAGCCCCACCCGTGCTGGTGACCTCTGAGGAAAGGCTCTCTGCCACAGCTTACAGAGCATCCTGGCCCTGGAGTCATTTAGCAGTGGGGCGAGGGAAGGGATGTCTCAGAGGCTGGGGGCAGTTTCCGTTTGCAACAAGTGCTCAGGGCGGGTACCAGAGACGCCCAGGCTCACTCAGCCCTTGGACCCCCTGACTCTTGGTGTTGAGTGAGAAGACAGTACAGGGGTCCCTACTGTACTTTATACACTGGGCTCTAGGGGCACATAAGAATCTATTGGGATGCAGGGAAAATATTACCACTTCTAGTGATACTTATTTGTATCTTAAAAAAAAAGTAAGCTTTCCTAATATTTAAAAACTTAGCTGTTAGAGGCACTCTTGCCCTTTCATTTTCTTAGAGGTGTTGAGTTTCTGGGTGTCTGGTTTAATAGGTACAGCATTATGTTACCTAGTTTTAACTAAACAAACACTAAAAATGGAGACGTGGCTTAAAACCTTCCTGAAAACAACTGTAAAGGGCAGATAACACCAATGAGGCCAGAGCGTGTGAACAAGAAAACGAAGAACCAACACTCCAGCCGCTAACAGGAGCGCTGGACCAGACCAGTTAGAAATAGTGAGAGCCTAATCACACTGGACGAGACGCTGGCTAAAGCCCCCAAAAGGATCAAGAGGGCAATCTGAAATCTGAACACACGCCCTGTTGTCAAAGGTCAACTCCCCTCGAAGTGTATAAAGTAGCCCTTAGCTATCAGCCAATTATTTTCAAAATTTATGTTTTGTGTTTGTCTTATTTTAAAATTTCTTATTTTGGTATGTACTTTATTATGTCTATAGTATGTTAATACAGCAGTACACACACACTTTGTAAATAAATACTGCACTGGCGGGGGGTACGTGTTTTTTATGTAGAGATCGCTGAACTGTGGAGACTGGGACTTTTGATGGCCCGCAGGGGGGCCGAGTCCCTGCTGCCCCTCTTTCCTTCTCCTGAGCGTGACCGTGGACATACCTTCATCTGGAGCAGGCAGGTGGGCACGGCCATGCGGCTAATGCTGTCTGAGGCGGTCTTGATATCCACTCTCCAGTCCAGGTCAACCAGGCGCGGCAGAGAGACTGTGGGGGGACAGCTCAGCTCAGAGCTCGCGCCCCCTGCGTTTACTGAGCCTCTGCTCTAGGACAGGCGGCTCCAAGTGCTGTACGTGGGCAATGCATCTGACCCCACAGCAGGTCTCTGAGGGAGACAGAGCGAGGGGCCCAGGACCCCGCAGCAAGTCATGGCCCTTACTCAGCACGGCTCCGTGCCGCCTGCACTAGGACTGAGTGAGGGCGAGCGGCATCTCCAGGCTTCCGCCCGAACACCTGACCCTCAGAATGTCAGGACAGGAGGAGGAACAACACAAGGCAGAGAAGACGAGGTTGTGGCCTGGGTCTTAGGACACGTGCAGCTTTGACAAGAGAGGAAAGAGCTCTTGTTTGAGAGACAGACTTGGCTCGAATTCAGGTCCCACCGCTTGTCTGACCTCTGAGCCTCCGTTTCTCATCTGTAAAATGGGGACAACCTTAGCCTCGCTCATGGGTTGCGGGGAAGGCTAAATCAGTTAATGCAGGCAGAGTGCTTCGGCACTGTGACTGCCTCAGTGACCATTTATTAAATACTACTTTTATTCAATCTTTCCAACTAATTTCAATTACAGTTATTTTTTTTCCTAAAATATACTTATTTTAAGTACTTCACTTTCTACTTTGGACATTTCTGTTTTTCTTTTAACTACAAGCTTATATTAAGTTTATAATCAGAGAAAAATTAAAAAGTTGAATTAAAAAGAAAAACACAATGCACACTGTTGGGTTTGAGATTAGAATCATTCACTTTGAGTTTTGGTTAAAAACTCGGGCCACCTGGCAGACTTAGAGCTGGACTGGGGAGGGAGTGAGGAGGAAGAGGTGGGTTTCCTGGTACTCACTCTGATTTGCTTGGGCTTCAGTTCTCCACGTGGATCTGCGTAAGAGAGAAACATGAGGACAAAAGAATGGAAAAAGGATGAGAACTGAATCTTCTGTTAAGGAGACAGGCCCCTGGACCTGGGCCTCTGCCCCTTCTGTGATCTTCAAACCTGTAATCACCTCCTGGCAGGAAAGGACCACAGAAACACCTCCTTCCAAGAAGCAGTTTTCTGCTGGTTTGTTTTACAAAGCTCGGTGATGTTAGGGCCATAAGGGCTGTCAGTGTTCACAGCTCAGGGAAGAAAATAAAAGGCTTAATGCATTGTAATCTTATTGTGCTCTCATCCTCAGAGACAAAACAGAGAAAAGGTCAACCCATTCTCTTTTTATTGAGCATCTACTAGATAAAGTATTGCATCTTACACAAAAGACACCCAAATAGATCTGTCTAAGGCTACAGCAAATAGCGTCATAGTGCAGTGTCAAGCAGAGTCAGAATAAACTGTGTCATGTTTGTGAAAGTTTCTACATAAAAAACAAAACCCTTGGTAATAGGCGTTATCTGTCATTACTATCAGAGGGGTCTTTCAAGCCTGCTGCTAACCAGTAGTTTATCAGCTCTGCTTAAATTCTATGCGTCTAAAAGGATTTGCCCAGCCAGAAAATATATAGATAATTCACAAACAATTAAAATTCACAAGAAATAAAAATGACCACTAAACATATGAAAAAGATATTTGACATCGCCAGTATCAAAGATATAAATTGAAATGAGGTATCATTTGCCATTTGTGAAACTGAGAAAAAAATGTCAAAAAAATTCCCTCAGCGCTGGTGAAGGTGTGGGGAGAGCAGCACACTCATATCCTACAGTGGAAAACAGCTGGCGCCATCTTTCTGGCGGCCAGTTGATCATATAAAGCCAAAGCCTCCACATGGCCATCCCCTTTAGCCAGTAAGCACATAATGAAGCACGTGAGCCAAGTTTCCATGATAAACTGTGCACTGAAGTGAAACTGCCAACAGCCTAAATGTCCAACACTAAGGAATTTCTTAATTAGACACGATTTCTTCACATAATGGAATACATTCACCACTGAAAATGATATTGAAGGTAAATATTTATCGACCTGAACTATCATTGATGTTAATACTATTAACTGAGAACAAGCAAGTTATAAAACAGCAGGATCCCACTGTGTTAAAAACAAAAACAAAACACCAACCTCTCTCTAGATGTGTAAATAGCAAAAAATAAATGAGTCCTCAAAAGTTTTCCAGCAGGAAGTAATACTGTAACCCTCTGGGTTGTAGGATTACGGTTTGCTTCTTTTCCCTTACCTGTGTTTTCCAACTTTTCAACAATGAACATATTATTATTTCTAGAACAGGAATAAAAAAATATAAGCATCACAGCGAACTCTCGAGAAATGAGCACTTACACGTGTTCTAGGATGATTTTTGTCAGCAGGTTTTTGAGGTTTTGGTGGAAATTTTCAGGAAAGAGAGCCAAAATCGCCTCGGCGGAGGACAGGTCACGGAAGGCCACCAGCCTGGTTAGGCGGTGCAGAGCCTGGAGCAGCTGCAGGACAGACGGGGAGCCCTGGGCAGTGAGGAGAAGGGGGACGGGGGGCAAGGGGCAGGGGCAGGGCTCTATACTCCACTGCTGGGAAGAGGGCCTGCCCACACTGCCACAGTCATTCAACCGAGTCCCACAAGTCCCGAGGCCTCCGTCGCAGATGCTGATGCCCAGAGGCCTCGGCCCACCTCTAAGTTCACCCGTTGCTTTAGAAGACAGATGCGACCACCTGACACAGGAAGCTGTCAGCCTGCCGAAACTCTCTGCTTATGGGCAAAGGGTTAATAAATTCTCTTCCTTTGTGCATAGAATCTGACCTTCAGTTAACTTTCTAGCCTGTTCCCTTGGTAACCTGAGAGAAGTGGAAAGTCAGCTGTGTTGCTAGGCAACACTGCCTTGGTCCACTGCCTCTGGACTGGGAAGACTGCACAAACACAGGGGAGCCATTGGGTTTCTGGGTTTCCCTGAGCGTGGCTGCACGCTCCTTGCCAGAACCTGAAGCTGTGCTTACTGAATTGTTACCAGAGGTAACAACTGGCTCCTGTGGGGTTTGGGCTATTAATCCAGGGTGGTAGGAGTGTCACGTCCCCGCCCTAGGCCGTCACCTGGGAGGGGAAAGAGAACAAACAGCTCTAGGTCGGCTATGTGGACCCCCCTACGGAAGAGGAGTGCCTGGCGCTGCCCTGCTAGAAGGTTGTGTTCCACCCTATGTCCTTCTAAAGGAATCTGTACCCAATGTGGCCTGTGGGCTCTTGTGACTCTAACAATGCTTAGTGAAGCTGAGAAGACTGGAGTAATCTCCTTTGCTTTAGTGCTTTCTCTGATGCTCAGGAGGCTGCTTGGCTGCAGACAGGTACAATCCAGAGGTGAGGGGATGTGAACCCTCTACCAATGAGGGGTGGGGTTAGTGGATAAATGCCCCAGCCTCCTCACCCTCCAGGGGACAATCCTGGGGTGTGCTCCACATGGTTTCTTACAGGATCCCAAGGCTGAGCCCCCGTTACCCAGAGCAGTAACCAGTCATTAACAGACCCTTCTATTAGCTTGTCTCTCTTCCTTGCTTGATTGTCTACATTCTCTCCTTTGTGCTTTCTAGAATCATTTCCCAAATAACCACCTGCACACAAGTCTTTGCCTCAGGGTCTACTTTTGGGGAACCCAGACTAAGTCCCCAAATCACTTCCATAATCTTGCTTCTGCCTTTACTGTTCTACAGCTGACTTCAATGAACCAAGTTCAGGATTAAAAAAATACCAACACAGGTCCATGTGGATGGACTCCTGTCTTAGAGGAGAGAGCAGGAGAGATGAGGCTGTGCATGCTACACAACCTGAGTCACCCTGCTCCTCCTCTCGGCCACCAGCTGAGGTCAGGTGCAGTCCAGCAGCACGTCCTCCCTAATCGTACTTGGGCCTTAGAGCTTCTGCCTGGGGATCCCTGAAAAGTCTGCCTTAGCTATCCAGCTGACAATCCATTGCATTGGCAAGTGTCAAGCTGGGAAAGAAAATTACAAAAAGGTTGGCTCCTGTCCACACTGTAGGTAACAGTTCTGAAAAGGAAACGGTCAGCAGCTCTGCTTCTTGATATAGTTCTGCCATCCACGCCTCACTGACCAAAAGGAAGTGACAGTTCAAAGACAACAGCTTTTAAGTTCATTAACATTAAAAAAAATCTATTTTAAGTTTGCTATAATGTCAACTGACATTTCAGGGGAAAAACTTCCTTGGATGTGGCAATGTCTGGGAAGTCAAGAGGGAGACTGACGAGTTGAGAGTCCAGGGGCCAAAGGCCATTGTTGACCACACTTACCTGCTCTGCCTCCTCCTGCGTCACAGACAAGCTGGAACACGTAATATCCAAGAGTTTTTTCGAGCCAAGGGCTGAAGTGGAAAAGCTCTCTTGGCACAGCTGTCTGACCACATCTTTCGAGGAGGCCTATGGAAACAAAGAACAAACTCAGACTCTGAAAATACATGTTTTAGAATATAACATTGCCTCAGTAACAGTGCGACACTTTTTTATTTGGTGAGGAAGATAGGCCCTGAGCTAACATCTGTTGCCAGTCTTCCTCTATGTTGTATGGGGGATGCCACCACAGCACAGTTTGATGAGCGGTGTGTAGGTCCACGCCCAGGGTCCGAATCCGCAAACTCCGGGCCGCCGAAGCGGAGCGCATGAACTTAACCACTACACGACTGGGCTGGCCCCCAGTGTGACACCTTTGAGACTCAAGATTAAAGGTGCAGAGGATACGTCTACTTCTGGGAAGATGGAGTAGATGTACTTTTCCTTATTCTTTCTGTTAAGCACAACTGAAATTCCTGGGCACTAGACAGAAAACAAACATCACAGGACTCTGAAAGGGGGAGAGGAGAAGACAGATCTGCTGTGGACCTCACAACCAAGGAACGACACAGTGGTGAGTTCCCTGGTTCATCTATCCCAGACTTGGAGCTGAAGAGGAGGGCAACCGGAATGCCAATGGGTGCAATAAAAAAACAAAACTCCAACAAACACCCACTCTCTCCAGCCAGAGGACCAAGAAAAGGGCAGATTAGCAAGACAGAACACTTTTAGACAATAACTGCTCTACTCCAGCAAAACACCACAGAAAGAACCATGGCCCCACCCTCACCCGTGTCAGCAAAGGCTGAGTGGAGAGCCTAGACTGCCACCCTTGTGAGGCTGTAACAAGGTATCCCAACACTCCTGTTGGACTGGCGTCACAAAAGGCCAAGTAGGGAGCTGGGACCTTCATCGCCACCAAGCAGTAACAAGTCCCACCACCTCATGGTATTAGTGGAGACTAGATGGAGCCAGCACTTCCATCCTGCGTGGTAGTAACAAGGAACTCCCAATTTTGGGTGTCAACAGGAGCCAAGTGGGGAACCTGGACTTTTACCTCCAACTTGTAGTAATGAGGCAGCAACCCACTCCCCTGCCTGAGCAGTGTCAGAGAAAGCCAGCTAAAATAGAAGATTTAGATAAGATCCAGAGTCTCAGGACATTAAATGAAAATGTCCAGGTTTCAAGTAAAAATCACTCATCATACCAAGAGCCAGAAAGATCTCAAACTGAACGGAAAAAGACAATCAATAGATGTTAACATCAAGATGACAGATGTTAAAATTATCTGACAAAGATTTTAAAGCAGCCATGATAAAAATGATTCTACAAGTAATTACAAACATGCTTGAAACAAATAAAAATATAGAAAGTCTTGGCAAAGAAATAGAAGATAATGCAGAAGAACAAAAAGGAAATTTTAGAACTGAAAAATACACAAACCAAAATAAAAAGTTCGGTAGATGGGCTCAGCACAGGAATGGAAGGGATAGAAGAAAGAATCAGTGAACTGGAAGATAGAACAATAGAAATTACCCAATCTGAACTACAGAGAGAACAGACTGAAAATAAGGAACAGAACCTCAGAGATCTGTGGGACTATCACATATAACATAACATCCAACAAATAACTATTACACGTAACATTCACGTCATTGGAGTCCTAGAAGGAGAGGATAAAAGAGAGCAAGACTGAAAAAGTACTCAAAGAAATAATCACTGAAAACTTTCCAAGTTTAGTTAGAGACATAATTGCATACATTCAAGAAACCAAGCAAATTCTAAACAGGATAAATCCAAAGAAATCCACGCCAAGACACATCATAATTAAACTTCTAAAAACTAAACGCAAAGAAAAAAATCTTGAAAGCAGTGAGAGAGAAACAATATCTTATCTATAAGGAAAAAACAATTGGAATTATAGCAGATTTCACATAAGGAACCAGGAAAAAAGGAAGTGGCACATTTTTCAGATGCTGAAAAAAAGAACTGTACACCTAGAATCCTACACCCAGCAAAAATATCCCTCAGGAATGAAGAGGAAATTAAGACATTCTTAGATGAAGTAAAACTAAGACAATTTGTCACAAGACCTACCCTAAAAGATCGGCTCAAAGAAGTTCTCTTAACAGAAAGGGAAAATAAAAGGAAGCTTGAAACATCAGGAAGAAAGAACATGACAAGCAAAAAAATATGGGGGTAAATACAGTAGGCTTTCTGTCTCCTCTTCAGTTCCTAAATTCTGGTTGAAAGTTGAAGCAAAAATTACACCACTCTCTGATGTGGCTCTAAACACATGTAGAGGAAATATTTAAGACAATTATATTGTAAATGAGGGAAGGGATAATAAATGGAGATAAGGTTTCTATATTTCACTCTAACTGGTAAAATGATGACACTGAGAGACTGTGAAAAATTATGTATATATAATATAATACCTAGAGCAATCACTATGCATTTTAAAACACTACAGATAATCAAAATGGGATTCTAAAAAATGTTCAAGTAACCCACAAGACGACAGGGAAAAGTAAAAAGAAACAAAAAACGTAACAGACAAAACAAAAAATAATGACAGACTTAAGCCCTAACATATCAATAATTACATTAGCTGTAAATGGTCTAAATACACCAATCAAAAGAAGTTGGCAGAGTGGATTAAAAAATACAACTCAATTAAATGCCGTTTACAAGAAATTCCCTTCAAATGTAATGACAAAGACAGGTTAAAAGTAAAAGAATGGAAAAAGATTTATCAAGCAAACATCAATTAAAGGAAAGCAAGAGTGGCTACATTAATATCAGATAAAGTAGACTTCACAGCAAAGAAAATTACCAGAGACAGGGAGAAACATTATATAGTGATAAAAGGTTTTATCTATCAAGAAGACAGCCTAAATTGTACGCACCCAGCAAGAGAGTTGCAAAATATGTGAAGAAAAATAGACAAAAAAGAAAGCAAAAATATGCAAATCTACAAATACAGTTGGAAACTTCAACACCCCTCTTTCAACAATTGATAGGACAACTAGACAGATATTCAACAAGGACAAAGAAGAATTCAACAGCACCATCAATCAATCTAACTGACATTTATGGAACACTACTCAGTAGCAGCAGAATCAGGATACACATTCTTTTCAAGTGCTCCCTGAACATATACCAAGATGGGTCATATTCTGGGCCACAAAACAAACCTCAACAAATTTAAAAGAACTGAAATCATACAGAGTGTGTTCTCAGTGACTACAATGGAATCTAACTAGAAATCAATAACAGAAAGATGACAAGAAAATGTCCAAACACTTGGAAACTTAAAGAACACATTTCTAAATAAGCCAAAGATCAAAGAGGAAGTCTCAAGGGAAATTTTAAAAACTATACTGAGGGCCGGCCCTGTGGCTTGGTGGTTAAGTGCGCGCGCTGCGATGCTGGTGGCCCGGGTTCGGATCCCGGGTGCGCATCGAGGCACCACTTCTCCGTTCA